AGAAATCACCTGCCAGGGGGCCTGGTCATGCTGCAATCCCTTCTCCTCCATTCTCCTCTCAGGATCTTGGGCATGCACACACACGCGCCTGGCGTGAGTTTAAGCCACCGGGTCCGGGACTGTAACCGCAGTTGACTACATGGGAGTCAAGTGACATAGTCATTACGCTAACTGCTGGTCCCGCCGTACTCCTTTTTTATCCTGGTCTACAACCCATCAGGCTCCTAGTGTTTTTCAAGGTGACAGGATCAAAACTTGAAACCTGGTTAGTCACATGAAATCCACCTTTCTCTGTAACACCTAGCCACTGCATTAATAAGCTGGACCCTGACAATGCATTCTGAAGCCTGAACTAGACTTTGATTGTTTATCACAGTGAACATTAGCACAGGATATAGTAAGATCTAGAAGATACTTCCTTCTATTAAACTCACAGAGTTTACAGTCAACCCCAGTGAAGAACTGTGGGAAATCCTATTATAAATACAGTGAATTTAAATCTGAAAGGACTAAGTGTGTCAGCAATAGAAACAGAGACACTAAATGGAATTTGTAGAAAATAAATAAATTGGGTCAACCCATGGCATGGTGGTAACAGCAGCTGGATAGTGGCTGTATCCCACCATGACCACACAGTTAGGTTCCAGAACAGGCAGCTTGAAAAACACACCAAGTTCATGTGTGTGCATGCCCAAAAATTCCAAAAGGAGAAAATGGGTAAGAAGAGATTGTGGTATGACCATGCCCTTTAGTGAAGGGGGGGGGGGGTCTTACTTCCTTTCTCTCATCCTTTTCCAGAAAGAATATCCACTATCTGACAAAAGTTTTTTTTAAAAAAATAGAAAGAAATTAATTTTTTCTGCACATCTGAATACATGACTTGAAATACTTCTATTGTGGTTTCATTTGATAGATGTTCCTGAAGTTTCCAGTAGCACTCCCAATAGCACTAAACTATTCACACAAGCAAATACTAAGTTCCTATCTCCATCTTTAAGCATATGGGATTCCCTATAGCACTATAAACTCCCACTGCCCTTAATTTCTGGAGAATAAAATTTTTAAATCCTGTCACACAAAATCCCAAGGGCCTTAGAGCAACAGTTTCATTGAGAACGCCCAGGGGCCTCTTCATTTCTGAATTCAGAAGCCTTAACATGCTGAAAAGTCCTCAGCAGTTATCAGATCCTGATAGAGATTCAAGTTCTGGTGACATTCATACTAAACTACCAGATGCATTAACATTTTCTGTTTGTTTTTTTTTTTTTAATTTCTTCTTATCTTCACAACCACCCCGTAAGAAATCCATTGCTATCCCCTTTAATATTGGGAGAAAATGAGATGTCATATAGCTTTTCTGAACTCACAGCTACAGAGAAGTACAACTGGACTTAACTCAAGATTTTTCTGATTTAAAAAGCATGTTTTGGGACAGCAGGTGACATGGTGGTTAAGGCACTAGACTCCCACATGGCCAATCATAAAACAAAACCACTTTGCTTACCCAGACACAGAGACATGTTTTGCTAAGATATTGTATTCCACATACTGGGATCACATGAGAGACCAGGGTTCAATTCTCAGTTCAACTAGAGGTTGGGTGTGCCTATAACCCCACAAATAGAGGATTCTGAGGCAGGAGGATCATGACAGAATAAGACACTGTCTTTAAAAAAAGTTCTTTATGCCATCCTACCCTAGCTTGTGATTCAGATATCCAGTAAATCACTATAAGATATATGAAGTTTCAGGGCAGGCAGGTGGCATGATGGTTAAGGGTACTGGACTCCCACATGGCCAACTGCAGTTCAAGTCCCAGACCTGGTGGCTTTCTCTCTGCCCCCCCCCCACCCCGGTCAAATTAAAATAAATAAATAAATAAATAAATAAATAAATAAATAAAGCTAAATAAAATAACTTAAAAAAAAAAAAAAAGATATATGAAGTCCCCGGGCCAGCCAGTGATCTGGTGGTTAAGGCAGCTAGAACCCACATAGCCGACTACATGATTATAGTCCTGGACCCAGCAGCTTAAAAAAAACACATGGGTGCCTGTGCACAAAATACTGAGAGGAGAGTGGAGGAAAAGGGATTGCAACATGCTCATCCCCTCGGGAGGTGTTTTCTCACTTTTTCTCTCTCTGTACACATGCTCTCTCTCTGTCTCTCTCCAGTGAGCACATGTGCCCTAGAGCAAATATACATAAATGCATGCATTAATAAATAAATAAAAATAAAATGGTGATATACATTAGGTGTTCTCCAAATAATTACTAGTCATAATAATTGTTTTTCTATTCTGAGGGCATTGACTTGAGTTATATATCCATCTAATTCCATTCTGTTTATTAGAATGAGTTGGGCAAGGTGTTGATCATTGAGGTGTTTTTTTTTACTACATCTTAGCTACAGGATTGCAACCCATGTGGTAAGTATTAAGAGGAACATAGAGTATATCTGGCAGTGGAGAGGTGAGAGTGCACTCATTAAGAATCCAATCAGCATACTGACATGTTGCCCTTTAATGGGTCACAATGATGGAAGCAAGGAGGATAGATTGTGGTGGCAGAACCAGGGGAAGTTAGACAAATGAAGAGGTCAAAACAATAATCCAGCTGAGTGAAGATAAATGCCTGAACTAGGTGAGTAACCACAAGGCTGAAAAGTAAAAGAGAAAGTATAGCAACAATATTTAGAAAGTGAAATCGACTGGATGTAGTGAGCATGAGAGGGGAGGAGTTTCAAGTGTTAATGCAAAACACCAATTCCAGCAACCGGTCATATAATCTAAGCTGGGGTAGAAAAGATCAAACTAGTAGTTGTAAACTGGGATAATGGATCTATAAAATAGGAGGCCTTTGGGCCCAGAGAGAAGTATATAGAGAGTAAGGACTAAAAGAGCCAGAAGTACAGAAGTCAGGACTGTTGCAAGGGATAACAAAGTTAGAGTACATCCATAGTCGTCAGATTTTGATGGAGAGGGATGTGAAGTTCACTGGATTTGGAGAGGTACAAGGACATTGAAGTCAAGAAAAAACAGAACTTGGTGCAGAGGATGAGACTGTGACCCAAATGTGAGAGTCTGGGAGGGAGTAAGTAAGTAATCCAGAAGAGCTGTCTTCCTAGGAGAGTTAGGCATCTGTCGTGGTTAGGAGGTCAATGGAGCCCTCTTTAATGGATAGAGGATGTGCTACAGGTTTCCAAGGGTGGAAGAAGGAACACCATATATGTTGATCTAGAGATGACAGAATAAAATAAGAATAAGAGAGAATAATATTCCAGGGGATTTATATTTCAGTCAGTAACCTAAGAGGCAAGAATGTGAAGTAGTGGAAATTAGTCTCAAAATATTTAAAGGAAATTTGGTGTTAGATTCCAACACATGAACATCTGACTTAGAATGATCTAATTCATATCCATCAGGGAAGTCTGGAATGGCAAGAATCAGGCAATACCTGCCTTGGGTATACGGTCTGTTTAATCATAAATGTCTGGTTCAGATAGATAGAAATGATGTTTCACTATAGTCCAGCCACATCATCCTTCATCTTCTTCAAGCTGAATTCATTCATAATCTTCTCATGCCTCAGGTTTCAGGTAAATTTTAGCTTCATGATAATATCTTTCTCAAGTGCCCACACTAAAGTAGAAACTATCATTTTTCTGAATCCCATTACTCTATTTTATTTTCTTAATCACCTCTACTACTTTTTTACTATCTGTTTTCTTGCACTAGAGTTTAGCTCCATTCTGCTCAATCAGTATTTGTTGAATGAATGTTTATACTCCTTGTCAGAAAAAAATTACACCAAGAGATTTGTGGATCATTTTGTATCTAGTCTTTATATTAGAAGAGAAAATTATTTCATAACCAAATCAGTAATGGTAGCATCAACCTAATATATTGTACCTTTAAGTACATTAAGCAACAATTAAGGGAACTGATACATAGTTACCTTATTCAACCTTTAAAAAATCTTTATTGCCATATATTATAGTGCTGTTATTTCTACATTTTTATAAAATGTAAACACCAAACATCTATAGATCTCTACTTTACCTTAGGCAAATATTAAATGCAAAAAAAATAAAAAGAGATGGTTTTTCCATTCAATGAGTTTACAAGTTAACAGGAAATATAAGACATACTAAAATGCTACTGTTTAGGATCCCCAAGTCCTCACCTGGTAGTTATATGTCCTTAGGCATGCTATTTTTCCTGGAAGCATCAGCTTCAACAACATTAGAATAAGACGAATATTGTATTTCATAGGGTTCTTGTGAAGACTTGTGAGTGAAACTAGAAACCTTTACTAATATGTGGAAACTAAAAGAGTTTCAACCATGAGAGTTGAGCTAATTTATAGAAATGTGTATGTGTCATATTATTTACTGTTTACTTGTTTCTAGTGTTATTTAAGAACAAATTATTTCCTCTAAAAAATAACTATCCTTCAATCTGTAAAATATAGTCTTTAGGGATCAACAGTTGGAGTAATGGCTATGTCACTGGACTCCCATGTAGTCAACTGTGGTTTGAGTCCCAGGCCCGGTGGCTTAAACTCACGGTGGGTGTGTGTGTGTGTGCGTGTCCAAGATCACAAAGAGAGAATAGAGGAGAAGGTTTTGTGGCATGGCCATCCCCCCTGGGGGGTGATTTCTCACTTTCTGTCTCTCTGTCTCTCTTTCCAGCGAGCGCACGTGCCCTATAGCAAAAACCTCTCAAAAAATAAATAAATAAAACAAAAACAGTCTTTAATGATAAACGTCAGAGTCAGGAAGTCTTGCAGAACAAAACACTATAAAAATATGTTGGAATCATGTTGGAATTATCTAAATCTTGAATCATTCATTAGTTACTTGAACAAGATTTCTTCCTGGATAGTTAGAGCCACATAGTTTTTTATGTTCACGGCTGTAACATTGTATAGAACCAAAAGATTGGTACTTCTCATTTAAACAGCAGTATATAGATGTGTAAAATCACTGAAGAGACTTACCTGGTATATCTCACATTCAACCAACTTGTTTTTCCACTAATTCATATCTGGAAAAAACAAAAAAAATAAACTCTTAATTCTTCCAGCATTTAGGTAAAACTCGACATTACAGACATTCTGAAAAAAATCTGATAGTGACATAGTTGGTTTACTTCTTATCCCACACACACACACATATACACAATTATATCTCTGTTTGTCTTTTTTACAATAAGGGTATTAGAAAATGTAAATGTGTGTTGCAACTATTAAAAATTCTGGGACATTTGTCATCTAAAAAGTCAAAGCTGATTTATTCCAGGTATCATTTGACAGAAGTGGCATACCAAAAAGTAGTAAAATATTATGAGACTTTCATTGTAAATAAGATTCACATATACTTTCAAAGATAAAGAGCTAGAAAAGAGAACATCTCTAAATGTCTTCAAGATTAATGGCAGATATTCTGAATTGGTCATGTCATAGAATAGTGGAGAAAGTATTACTTAATTATAATTAGCACGTACATATGTCATGGTTTTTTAATGACAGTTTTCACTCTGGCCATTTATACAGACAATGATATAGTCCCAATAATAATAATGTTTTATTTCATCATCCTGTTTAAAACAGGGTTAAGCACACAGCTGCAGCATGTCAAATTTTTAAGAAGCAAATCAGTCCAGATTCATGAGTTTGGGCTTTTTATTCCATATTTGAATTTATTTTTCCTGGATAGGAAAAATAGTTATAGAAGCACCTGATCTAGTGCCATGAACATAGTAGAGGCTTAATAAATATTTATCACAGCTGAAGTTAGAGGTAACACTGATTTGCACTCTGTACAATATGTTGGATTAGGACCATATTGCTTGCAAAAAGCATAAACCTTTGGTGCAGCATCTGAATCTTACACAATTTTTGAAAATAACTATGTTGGAGGAGGACTAATCTGCTACAGAAAGAACAAAAATGTTACTTATAACTACGATTAAGATGAATAAAAATCTAAACTGTATAGAAAAGCAGACTACATAGAATGCTGGCAATTTTTACTCCTTTGTAAGAGTAATATCTGATTAGCCTTGGCAGGAGGGTCAGAAGAAAAGCCCAGCTGTTGATCTGTAAGAGAGAGGGAAAGAAGTCAACACTGGTGGGGTATGACCATAGAACTCCTCCTCAGTTTCAGCACTGAAGAGGACATACCAAACCTGAGTCCAAAGCAGATTAATATTGACGGTTATCATCTCAAATAGGTCAGGTATAAGCGTTGTACCAGGAATAGGTTATGTTGTAAATGTTATTATCTGATGAATGACAGTTTTATATTTGGAATGGGAAGGGTTGTCTGGGTTATAATGGGGCCTTAGTCAGTGGGCTACAGAGGGGAGAACACTGGGATAAGATCCAGATCCCCTAGAGAGTAGAGGTTGGCAAGATTAATTAGTTTCTCAGGTTCAGACAATTTATCTGGGCTCAGAGCTGGGATTCATTACCAGCAAAGGAAGAAATGCAAATGAAGAACAGAGACAAGAGTCTAGTAGCACAGTGAGGTTAAGGTCAAGATTGAGGGGCTTAATATAGGTGACCAAATAGATGTTTACACAGGCTTATGGCAATAGATGCTCCCATACTGTTTATTGGTAAGAACAGAACTCTTAATATTCTGCCAAACTTGGATGTTACCTCAGTAACAAATTGGTGGTCTATGTCTTTCTATAGTTTGACAATATGTAGTATTTGCTGCTGGGCATAGTTTAGCAAGAGCTATTAGTTTGGGACATTCTTGTTTGTTCGTTTGTTTTGGAATAAACTTAATTACACCAAAAATTATATTTAAATTGATCACTTAGACTAGCATGTCAGATTTTCAAGAGGAATCTTTGTCTCTTGATTCACTGAAGTATACCATGTGCCTAGGTGGCACAAAGTTAGTATTTAACAGATATTTGTTGAGTTATAGAACAAGTCATTCAAATTACTTACTAAGCATCACCATGGAATCTGAAAAACTTGAAAAGTAGTTCTATTTTGCTAAAAGTCATAATGATTTCAATGAAGTAACAAAGCCAAGATGATAGCACATCTTTTTACATCATGATTTACTTAATGTTTTAAGCCTATTGCTGAGATCTATGCCAGAAAATATTCCTTTCAAAATATTACTGACCATTGAAAATACACCTATTCATCCAAGAACTGTGATGGAGATTACAAAGAAATTAGTGTTGTTTTCATACCTACTAACACGACACCACCCCAGGGATCAAGGAGTCATTTCAGCTTTCAAGTCCTATTATTTATGAAGTATATTTCATAAACTATAGTTTTCATAGACAGTGATTTATCTGAAGGTTCTGAGCAAAGTCAATTAAAAATCTTCTGGAAAGGATTCATCATTTGAGGCCCCATTAAGAACATTTGTGATTCATGGGAGGAGGGCAAAATATCATCATTAACAGACATTTGAAGAAGTTGATTCCAACTTTCATTGAAAACTTTGAGGGGTTCAAAACTCCAGTGAAGGAAGTAATTACAGATACAGTAGAAATACCAAGAGAACTAGAATTAGAAGTGGAGCCTAAAGATGTAATTGAACTGCTACAATCTAATGATAAAAATTGAATAGACGAGGAGTCACTTCTTATGTATTAGCAAAGAAAGTAATTTTTTGAGATGAAATCTACTTCTAGTTCAACTCACTATTAGGGATCCAGATTTATTAGTAGACCCAGTTGTGATTTTTTTCCCAAGAAAATTTTGAATTTTTCCCCAAAATTCAATTTCTTAAGTTTTTAAGTACTAATTGAAACAAACAAACAAACAAACAAACCAGTCAGAAGAAGCTATTATTTTCCACAGCATTGACATTTTCTGAGTGATATAGGAAGAATAAAATTCATTCAAGATATAATTAGTTTGTGCCTACTGTGTGCATAACACTATGAAAGATACTGGAAATACAAAAATGGATGATGCTATGGTTTGAATATTTTTGTTCCCTCCAAAACTCAAGTTGAATCTTAATTCCCCACTGTAACAGTATTGAGAAGTAGGATCTATTGGGAGATGTTTAGGTGATGAGGATTCTACCTTCATGAATGGATTAATGCTACTATATAAGGAGATTATGGGAGTGGGTTCTGCACCCTTCAGCTCTTCTGCCATGTGGAACAGTATTTCTTTCCCTCAGAGAATACAACATTCAAGACACCAACTTGGAAGCAGAGACTGGGTCCTCACCAGATACCAAACCTCCTGACACCTTGGTCATGAACTTCTCAACCTCCAGAACTGTGAGAAATAAATTTCTAGTCTTTATACTACCCAGTCTTGGGTAATATCACAGCACAGAATGGTCAGGACAAAGACTTATCCTCTTCACCCTCAAAGTATTAATCACATAGAAGGGAAACAAAAATACGGATGTTCATTGTACATATAAATTCAATGTGGTATGTGTGTTTGAAGGCCATTAAAGAAGAGCACAGACACATCATCTACCCTGGGGAATTGAGATTGTGTCAAAGGAAAAGTGGCATTTGCAGGGAAATTCAAAGGAGAGCTAGGATTTTGAGAGATGGAAGACAAAGTAGATGGTAACATTTCACCAGGGATAATAATAAGCAAGATTATGAAACACATGGCATGTCTCTCCTTAAAACATGAGAGAAACTGGCATCTTCCAAAACCACGTAAAATATAGTGCTTCTGAGAAGGGGATGGGAGAGTAATATGACTAGGAAGGCTCATTGTTGATCACATATAGTAGGTAGCTGAAGCAAGCCATTAAAGAATTTTCAGCAGGGGAATGACATGCTAAAGAGCCTTAGAAAACCATGAGAAGGATAAGGAGGATGAAAATCTTCTGTTCCCAGGTTTTTCTGCATCATGCAGGTAAGACATGCTGAATGAATGAAGAGAATGAAATGAATATTATTTGATAAAGTGGATAGCAAATTAATATAATAGCAGTTAACATGTATAGAGTTCTATCTGCCAGACATTGACACTACGCAATGACAAAAAATCTAGACTTTGAAATCTGACTGCCTGAGTTTTAACAGTTTCCTTGTCTGTACATGAGGACTTAACTTCACAAGACTGCAAGGATTAATTAGGTGCTGTATGAAAGGTATTTATAACAGTGCCTGGAATACATTGAGTAACTGGAAAAGTCACAACATATTTTTCTATGCAAAAATGCATTATGACTTTTCTGACAACTCAATAGTAAGTGCTCAAAATACATTAGAAACTATTATTATTTTATTTCACAGATGATCAATTATAATATATTTGAGTAAGTATATTCCCAAGAATAGATAGTTAATATATGATGTGTTTCAAACTCACATTTGTCTAGTTTTTCTTTGTTTTTTTTTTTTTTTTTTTTTTAGGGGCTTTTTTTTAAGGGGCTATAGTGCTTCTGAGAAGGGGATGGGAGAGTAATATGACTAGGAAGGCTCATTGTTGATCACATATAGTAGGTAGCTGAAGCAAGCCATTAAAGAATTTTCAGCAGGGGAATGACATGCTAAAGAGCCTTAGAAAACCATGAGAAGGATAAGGAGGATGAAAATCTTCTGTTCCCAGGTTTTTCTGCATCATGCAGGTAAGACATGCTGAATGAATGAAGAGAATGAAATGAATATTATTTGATAAAGTGGATAGCAAATTAATATAATAGCAGTTAACATGTATAGAGTTCTATCTGCCAGACATTGACACTACGCAATGACAAAAAATCTAGACTTTGAAATCTGACTGCCTGAGTTTTAACAGTTTCCTTGTCTGTACATGAGGACTTAACTTCACAAGACTGCAAGGATTAATTAGGTGCTGTATGAAAGGTATTTATAACAGTGCCTGGAATACATTGAGTAACTGGAAAAGTCACAACATATTTTTCTATGCAAAAATGCATTATGACTTTTCTGACAACTCAATAGTAAGTGCTCAAAATACATTAGAAACTATTATTATTTTATTTCACAGATGATCAATTATAATATATTTGAGTAAGTATATTCCCAAGAATAGATAGTTAATATATGATGTGTTTCAA